GGAGGTTGGGGCGCTCGCCGATCGCCTCTCGTTGCTTGGCGTGGCCCCCTGCTCGCCCTTGTGCCCCTCGGGGCCTCCCCCGTCGTTGCTGCTCGTTGATGGATCGACACGCGCCAGATCGGCACTGACGGTCACTGACGGCGTCACCGCGACAAGGATCAGATGTCGCCTCTTGGCTTTAAGGGGTGCTGCTGGTGGCGGAAGTGGTAAAGCGTCGTGGCGCCCCTCGGGAGGCCGAACAAGGACGTTGCGCCACCCAGCTGGATTCCCCGTTTTTCAGCTTGTGGACAGAGCGTCTGCCCCGCAGCTTTGAGCGAGGGGCACGGGTGCCTTGCGGAATCCATTTAGGAGGCCTCCAATTCAGGCTGGGCCGCTGGCGGAGGGGCAGATACGAGAGCGACGTGGAGGTGGAACAAACCCACGTCCTTTCAGGAAGGAGTGGGGGACAACTTTGTTAATGTGAACATTGCGTTCCGTGCGTTGTTCCGACCCATTGCCAATATTGGGTTCCAAGGTTGCTCTACCCCCGCATCTGTTCTGCCCAACCAACCTTCTCTGCCCGCCCCTTTTTTCATATGCTTCTTGCACTCCCGCTTCCCCCACCCCACGCCCCTCCTGGGAGGAGGGGGAACATGACCAAGGCTTGCCGAGCATTTCTCCGATCCACTGCCAAATTGAAGTTCCAAGCACTCTCGACCCCATCATTTTCTTGGTGGGCATTTGTTATGCCTAGATCACGGCTGTTTCTGAATACGATCCCCGTCGCATTTTCGTGGCAAAAGGAGGGCCACACCGACCGATTCGTATTGTCCAGATTTGATTTGCAGCCAAAGGCCGCCGCTGAACAAAACAGCCGAGCGCTGCTGTTCAGTAGCCTCCATTCGGCTCGAGCGGCATTTGGAGCAGGCTATTTGCATAGACCAAGCTGAAATCCAAGCATTCATGACGTATCCAACATGGGTTCGCTGTGAATGTGGGAATCGCATAGCTGCGCCAACAACGATGTCGAACGGTCTTCCTTTTCTCGTCGTCGGGCTTCCCATGCTACACCGGAAAATGTTGTGCTCCCACAAGGGGGCATGACTATGAAGCTCACGCTTTTCGTCATCCTTTCCTCTATGGCGCGCGAGCTGCAAAGAAGCAGCACGACAAGTTAGTTCATCAGTTGCACCTCTTGGGGGCGTCTTCGTCCATGGTTCACGTTGTCCAGGGCACAAGATGTGTTCCAAGAAAATACATGGGCAGGGCTCCCTGGCATAATCAAATCACCCATTTCTCGGCCTTATTCCGATGGTTTCCCAAGGTTGAGCGCATCCTATGGTGCTCCCTCACGAAGCCTGGTCGGGTCTTTTGCACCCATTACAATTCCATTTTGAGGTGGATGCGCAGGTGTTTACTTGCATTGCGTCAAAAGGGGGCCCTGGCGTGGATCTCTCCTGGATCGGACTCCAGAAAGTACACAGGCCACGCATGTTCACCTCTGGCCACATGAGGCCAGTTATCCAAGGCAGCAGAATTATTGTATTGAAAAGGCTCTGGCTTGTTGCGGGCATACCGGTCGCCCATGCAGGTTCGGTGGTCGCATTGGGACATGATGTTGTGCAGTTTCCCCCCGGAAGGCGCCATCTACAGGCCCATGCAGTCTGCTTGTGGCATCAGGGCGCACCAGAGCGTCCCAGGGCAATGCTTCCGCCCCGCCCTGTCCGCAGCGGAGACTTGGTCAGGGAAGAAGAAGAAGAAGAAGAAGAAGCGAAACGCCCAGTGAACACTGCCTCGTACGCCCCTCCATTCCCTCCCCTCCGTCGGTCCTCCTCGCCTTCGCCGCCCACGCTGCGCCTTCCCGCTGCCCCGCGCAGCCCGAGTGCCCCCGCAGCTCGCCAAGCGCACTTCCACTATGAGCACGCCGGTGAGGCGCGGCCTCGTATCACCCCATTTTTTGTCCCCCCCCGTCATCCACGTGTTTCCCCCCCCCTGGCCCTCGCTGTTGCTTCGCCGTGCGCCCAGAATTTTCTGCACCCTCCATGGCCACGTTGATCCACCAGTAATGTTAACCCGTCAACATTGGATGCCCCTTATTGTTTCATTGGCCCCGCCCTTGCGGTCTGGACCCCTATGGCCCCAGGCCAGGCCACATCGGGCCACCGTGCCCTACACGGTGGTAGATCCAGGTGACTAGGCCCACTCACGGGGTTAAGGCGCCCCTAGGCCATATCACCTCAAGTCCTGCTCCTCCTCCTCCTCCCCCTACTCCTCCTCCTCCTCCCCCTACTCCTCCTCCTCCTCCTCCTCCTCCTCCTCCTCCTCCTCCTCCTTCTCCTCCTCCTCCTCCTCCTCCTCCTCCTCCCCCTCCTCCTCCTCCTCCTCCTCCTCCTCCTCCTCCTCCTCCTCCTCTCCTCTTCCTCCTCCTCCTCCTCTTCCTTCCCCCCCCCTCTACCTCATCCTCCACATCCTCCTCCACCCCCCTCCTCTTCCTTTTCCTCCTCCCCCTCCTCCTCCTCCTCCTCCCTCCTCCTCCTCCTCTCATCTCATCATCCCCCCTTTCCTCCTCATCCTCTTCTTCCTCCTCCTCCTCCTCCTCTTCCTTTTCCTCCTCCTTTTCCGCCTCCTCTTCCTCATCCTCCACACCGTCCTGTTTCTCCGCCGCCCCCATCATCCTTCTTTTCCTCCTCCTTCTCCTCCTCCTCCTTCTCCTCCTTTTTCTCCTCCTCCTCGTCCTTTTCCTATTTATTGTCTTTTTCCTTTCTTTTTTTCTCCCTCCTTTTCTTCCTCCTTCTCCGCTTTTCCGTAGCCACGTTGGCTCAAGATGATTGGTTTCACGGGGGAACGCGTAGGGACAGCCAGCCCGCGGCCGTCAAGGCCCTTTAGAGCCTGGCGAAGTTTTGTTCACACCGCGCTCGGGGGGGCGGGCGAACGGAGTTTGTTCCCGTTCCTGCACTTCCGAGCGCCCTTGTCATGGGCGGCCACGGCGGCGCGGGCGGGAAGCAGAGGCGCGATTGGACGTGCAAGAGCTGCATCAACCGCCGCACGGGGACGGCCCTGCTCCACTGGGGCAGCAGCCTCAAGTGCAACGGCTGCCGCCTGCACAAGAAGTGCGTGTTCGGAGCGGTCGCTGGGACTGCGGAGCCGTCCAAGAAGGCCGAGGGGAGCAACCACCCGTAGGACAAGCTCGAGAAGCCACTCGAGGCCGCGCAGAGTAGAGCGGGCCAGCGGCAAGCCGCCGCCTGGGCAGGAAGCCGCCGAGATCAGCGAGCCTATGGGGTCGGACGATTCGGGTGCTGGCAAGATCGGCGCTGAGATCAAGCGGCACCTCCGCGACCTGGCGATGCTCAAGGGCAGCGAAAGCGAGTGGGTCCAGGAGAAGGTGGCCACGCTCAACGTGCAGCTGGCCGACGCTAGGAAGAGGCAGAGGGAGCGCAAGCCGTTGCCAAAGCGTGCTCAGGTGCTGACCAACGAGGTCAAGCAGATGGGCGAGACGGTGTCCAAGGCGGCGACCGCCAGGGACGCGGCCAAGGGGGCTTCGGGCGCTGCCCAGCTGGCCCTGGACAACAAGGAGGAAGGCCTACCAGGAGCACCACACGCTGCGCGTGGAGATGGAGGCCGAGCTCGAGCGCCTGCAGCAGCTGTTGCCCACGGCGTCAGCCGCGCGGGCGCCAGGCACGGCTATGGCGCAGGAGCTGGTACCAGGACTCGGCCTCACAAAGGGGAAGCTCTCGTAAGTAGTCGCGACGCAGCTGGGTGCGCACTCGGGCGAGGAGCAGGCCCTGTTGCACGCGGCGCAGGCGAAGTTGGCGGAGGGGCCTAGCAGGGGCATCACAGAGCTCGTTGTCAAGAAGCAGCTTCGGGGCCACCGGGTGGCCATGAGGAGGCGGGCTCGGGGCAGCAGCCTCACGGCTCACAGGGGGCAGCAGAGGAGGCAGCCCCACCCCGCGACCTCGTCGCGCAGGCCCGCTGGGAGCCCGACAGGCTCGAGGAGTCGGAGCTCCGCGAGAAGATGGCCAGGTTCGCCAAACCAGACGACGACGCCGCCAAGGTTCGGGAGCTGGCCAAGGCAATGGCGATGGGCGGCTGAGCGCCTTATCGAGCTCACCGGCCCCATGCCGATGGCCAAGTCAACGGCGGCCCTGAAGCCGAAGGGCATCATCGCATCGATGAACGTGACCTCTCGGGTTTCGGTCGGGCCCTGCGTCGAGACGCTCGGCAGCAACGCGTGCGTGATCTTGCTGCAGGAGCACCGCATCACCGACCCCACGAAGCTCGCGGTGGCCCAGAGAGAGATGCAGGATCTCGGCTTGGACGGGGTCTGGACTCCAGCGGCGTCCTCCCCTGCCCCCTTTCGAAGGCGCGGTCGGAGGCGTGGCCATCCTGGCCAAGGCGCCCATCTTTGTGACGGCGCCGCCGCTGCTGGATTCGCCCGTCCTGCATGAGGGGCGCATGTCGGCCGCGCACCTTCGCTGGGGCGCGCGCGGAGGCCTGGTGATGACTCTGTCTACCTGGTCGACAGCGTTGGGTCCAGCGTCGTCAACTGGGGGATCTTGTTGACCCTGCTGCGCTACCCGGCGCAGCTCAACGCCGCGGGCTACGACTGGGTCGTCGGAGGCGATTTCGACATGGCGCTGGAGCTGCTCGGCGCCTCAGCGGGACGAGGAGGCCAACGGCGTCTGGGTGGTGCCCATGCAGACCGCGCACCGCTCGTATCTGGACAACGCGTCGACGATCGGCTACTTTATCGTTTCGGGCAACCTGGGCCCGAGGATCTTCAAGCCATGAGGAGGCGGGCTCGGGGCAGCAGCCTCACGGCTCACACGGGGCAGCAGAGGAGGCAGCCCCACCCCGCGACCTCGTCGCGCAGGCCCGCTGGGAGCCCGACAGGCTCGAGGAGTCGGAGCTCCGCGAGAAGATGGCCAGGTTCGCCAAACCAGACGACGACGCCGCCAAGGTTCGGGAGCTGGCCAAGGCAATGGCGATGGGCGGCTGAGCGCCTTATCGAGCTCACCGGCCCCATGCCGATGGCCAAGTCAACGGCGGCCCTGAAGCCGAAGGGCATCATCGCATCGATGAACGTGACCTCTCGGGTTTCGGTCGGGCCCTGCGTCGAGACGCTCGGCAGCATCGCGTGCGTGATCTTGCTGCAGGAGCACCGCATCACCGACCCCACGAAGCTCGCGGTGGCCCAGAGAGAGATGCAGGATCTCGGCTTGGACGGGGTCTGGACTCCAGCGGCGTCCTCCCCTGCCCCCTTTCGAAGGCGCGGTCGGAGGCGTGGCCATCCTGGCCAAGGCGCCCATCTTTGTGACGGCGCCGCCGCTGCTGGATTCGCCCGTCCTGCATGAGGGGCGCATGTCGGCCGCGCACCTTCACTGGGGCGCGCGCGGAGGCCTGGTGATGACTCTGTCTACCTGGTCGACAGCGTTGGGTCCAGCGTCGTCAACTGGGGGATCTTGTTGACCCTGCTGCGCTACCCGGCGCAGCTCAACGCCGCGGGCTACGACTGGGTCGTCGGAGGCGATTTCGACATGGCGCTGGAGCTGCTCGGCGCCTCAGCGGGACGAGGAGGCCAACGGCGTCTGGGTGGTGCCCATGCAGACCGCGCACCGCTCGTATCTGGACAACGCGTCGACGATCGGCTACTTTATCGTTTCGGGCAACCTGGGCCCGAGGATCTTCGAGCCGACCTTGCAGGAGCTGGGCGCCGCGGCGCCCCACTTGCCGGTGGAGCTTCGGCTCTTCGGGGAAGCCATGAAGATCTTGGTCCGCGTCCTTGCGAACCCTCGGCCAATGCCAGCGGCGCCGCCCAATGGGCGCGCCCGAGGTGGGGAGGACTGGACCAAGACGTCGGCCAAGGTCCTGCAGGCGAAGGAAGCACGCGCGGACAAGAAGCGCGGTGGGCCAGCGCATGACAGCGTGAGGGGGAGGTGCGTCGAAGCTCCCCAAGGCATACGATACCCCGATGAGAGCGACGACCACGTGCAGCAGCTGCTGGTGCAGGCGTGGGACGCCGTTCTGGACACTGTCGAACAGGGGCTGCTGGACCGCTGCGACAAGGCGGGAGAGCAGAGGCGCAAGTACGTCGGCAGGTCCGGCGACCTTGCGACGGCCCTGCGACCTGCCAAGTTGGCGACCGCCCGCGCATCGGGCGCGGCTGGGCCCGCTCGCTGGGGCCTGCCGTGTCGCGGCGAGGTGGGCGTGCCACTCGTGGGCGCCGGTGCGTTCGTCGCCAAGTCGCTGCGCCCACTGCAAGCGTCGGACGCGGCGTGCGAGCTGTCGTCGTTGCAGTGCTCCAAGCTGGCCTGCTTCCTGCTGGAGACCATGGGTTACCTCGACAATGTTGCGAGGCACCACGAGATCATCGCGCTGCTGCCGCAGTGGGCGCAGGATTTCTTCTTGGCAGGCATGCGCGTCCTGCTGTGAGATGACTTCATCATGGTGGCTGGCGACATCTGCAGTGCGCCAGCACAGCGGTGGAGCAGGCGACGGATGGCAAGCAGATGGCGCGGGTGCGCTTGGCCCAGGACAGCTTCCCCAAGGGGGGCTGATCGGGCGCGCAGGGCGGCCGAGCCCCGTGCGCTACAGCTGGTGCTGCCCACATGGACGGAGCGCGACAGAATCGCCAGCCCCCTCAACGCTTGCGATCAGGACATGGAGGCGTGGGCCCAACTTCTGGAGGTGCCACGAGCTGGAGCAGCTTCAGAGGCCGCGCGACACCGACCAGTGGGAGCCCCTCCCCACGCTCACGGTGGGCATGCTGCAGGCTGCTGTGCCTTTCCCGACCTCCACGGCGAGTGGGCCCGCGCGCATCGGCGCGCGGGCGCTGGCGCGCTTGTCGATGGTCGGGGTCCATGTGTGCGCTGCCCTTTTCACGGGCTGCGAGGAGGTCGGCGCTTTGCCCAGCGGCAGGACCTGGCGCGAGATGGCCAGGCTGCCCAAGCCGACTGGAGGCTGCCGTCTGATCACGCTCATGCATGCGATGTTCTGGTGGTGGACACGTGCGAGGACCAGTGTCTCGAAAGCCTGGCTCTCCGCGCACCCCGGCGGCGACATCTGGGGCATGGGGGGAGGCAGGAGCTCGCCGGACTCGGCCTTCGACCGCAATATCGAGACTGAGATCTTTGCGGCGCTCGGGGAGTACACGCTCGCGGTGCTCATGGGCGCCTGGGAGTTCTTGGGGACGATCGTCCGCGCGGCGTTGCTGGCGGAGGCGCGGGAGATGGGCATGCCGCTGCGCCTCGTCTGGATGCTGTTGGAGCTCTATCGGCAGCCGAGGAGGCTATGCGCGTTCGGGCCGGCATCGTACGATGTTGTCGCGTGGCAAGGGGTGCTGGCGGGCTGCGCGCACGCCTGCGCGATGGTCTCGCTCCTGCTCCACAGGCTGCTTCAGCGCATTCGCGGCCTCGGCGTGGTGCCCAGAGCGCTGGCGGGCTTCAGGGTGCCCGCATTCTGACAGGCTGTGGGCTGCGGTCACCAGGTTCCGCAAGGGAGCCCGTGCGGTCGGCATCATCATCC